CTCGTGTTTCAGGGGCCATCGCGGGCAATTGGGAAAAGTTTTCAACCAGCAATAAACGCACCTCGGCAGAGCCTCATTGGTCACGTTATCGCCTCTGCGCAAAGCTAACGAGAACACCTGGAATGGTGTGCACTTGGGATTCTGCTGCGTATCTGCTACGGGTCTACCTTCTCAGCTCAGCACTAGAGAACTCGTTAGATATGTGCCAGCGGAGAGTGATAATTAGCTGCGAACCCTGCACTTGACAAAGTCAGTTACAGCGCGTCAATGGAGCAGTTACTTTCTGTTTCACAGTCACTATTTATTCAAAGTTGCATGCGAGCTGATCGATTACGAATAAATGGCGAAGGCTGAGCTACAGTCTCTTCGAGACGTGAGGAGAAGGGTATTACCGTGAACCCCTTGGAGCCTTGTTCCATCTCCCCCTTATTCAGGATTTATTTAGAAGTCATACTAACATGTCCCTTAATTTCTCAACTTTTTTCTTTTGTTTTTATACCGCTCAGAAGAGCGAGTCGCCGACGCGTCCTTTCGGCCGCGTCACGGTCCTCAGCGCGACAAGTCGCGTTCTTCCCGCTCGCAACTCGCCCGTCTCCCGTTCATCGCGGTGGACAGGTGTCGCTTTTTCGTTGGGATTGCGAAATACACACTACAGAAATGATTCTGTATAGTATGATTTCAGCGATATCATTGCGAGCCATCGTGCGCTCGGAGGCCGCGCCGTACCCGACGAAGGTCTCTTCGGCGGCGTTAGTGTGGAGAAAATGAGATCCCTAGCGCTGGGAAATGGGGATTTCTGGGTTCCTGTCAGAGCTTGAAGAAAAGGTTGGTGGCAAAATCTAATAATACCTTCTACTGCCTTCTGATGCTTTATAACAACATGTAAAATTCAAAAAAAGCAAAATAATAAGAAGATAAAAGGACCTGCATGGAAAGTGACAAGGTAAAATAGATTTTTTGGAGGCAGTAGAGGAACAAAAAAACTATATTATCATGAATCTACAGTGCAGCAGCTTCAATAACCTCAAGCAGC